ATAAAAGCAACAAGTCTCTACACCATAAGGACGAAATTTTACACCACAAAACACGAAGAACGAAGATCAACGAAGACTCAAGCATAGTTTTTCTTATTTCTTTTATTTTTATTTTGTTTATCATAAGAATTACGAGTAGCTAAGTTTTTAATCTAGGATTTTATTTGAACCCTATGTGGTAATTCGAACCTCTTTTTCTACTTTTATGCAAGTTTAATTCTTCGATTATTTCTTCTATTTTGATCTTATTTAGCGCATGAACGTAGCTAATTTATTTTGCTATTGGTTATTGTTAGAATTGATTAACAGATCATTTTAATAATTAGAACAGGGATAGAAGAGCATTCGAGTAGTTTTCACCGGATGAGTGTGTCAATTGCATGTATTATCGTAGACATATAGATAATACCTTAGGTAGCCGTTTACGAGACTTGTTATTTAATGCTTTATTTATACTAGGTTTGCATAGACATATAGTGAATCTTTTATGAATAATAGACTTATAATACAGCGACAGCTGGTTATGAGTAATTTCGTGTCTTGGGTTAATAATCGGGAATCATAACTTGCATGATAGGGAATTAATTGGGTGAAGAATTATCGCATAGGGGGAAGATAAAATCCTAGATCCGTTTTATATTGATATTTTCTCGTGTTTAATTGCTTTCTTAATTAGTTTAATTTATTTAGTTAATTAATTTGACAAACTTGCGTAGGCTGGATAAAAATCGTAATTGTTAAAATTTGGTACTTAGGATTAAATAATTTGCATATTCCCTGAGGGATCGACATCCGACTCTCACGAGTCCACTTTACTACTTGTTTGCGATACGTGCACTTGCGTGTGGGTATTTAGCACCCAACAAGTTTTGGCGCCGTTGCCGGGGAATACGGCTAAATTATTTATTTATTCTAATATCAAATTTGAGCAATTTTTCTTATAACAGCCATTTAATTTTAATTTTTATTTTTATTTTTAATTTTGATTTTTTTTTTGTTACATGTCTGGTTACAATGTTGGGGCACCTCAAACGGGATATGAATGGCTTCCAACTGACGAATACCTCCAAAACACCTATTATATGCCTCCGTTTTGTTCCGCATGTGGTGGAAATCATTATTCCGATCAATGTTGGGGATCACCAAAGGCGACAAATTTCGTCGAAATTACCAACAGAGGTTATTGGAACACTTACACCAACACATACGAGCAAAGCTTTCAAGACCAAGATTTGAACGAGTTTCAACATAGAGAGCCACAAATTGATGATTTTCAAAATTATTATCCAATGCAGCAGCAGACCACTGATGAACAACTTGATTTGGTATCCCTTATTGCCGAATTCATGAAGTCCACTCAAGCATCATTTCAAAACATGGAGATACAACTGGAAGAGATGACTCTCAAATTAAAATATGAATCTCTTGAAAATATTCCAGACGAAATCGGCAATGGTTATATCAAAGAAAATTCGGGTGAAGCCTGCGGTGAGAAAAATCTTCTATGTCCAGAAAATAGTGTCGATATGAGAGAAATAGAAATTACGAAGACACTTGAGCATGATGAATCTGAGAAGGCAATCGAGCTAAACCAGGAAGATGCCTCAGAACAAGAGAAGAAGGAGATGGATGTAATGATTGAAGATGTTCTAGTTGTGGACCCTGTCGTTGATCTAAATGTAGATTTGAAGGCATCAATAGAGGTTGATGAGAAGACGAGTGTGTTTGAAGTGGAGGTTATACGCGGATGTGAGGTTTTTGTGTACCGATTTGAGGGAGCGGGTGATGAAGAACCCATCTTAGCTTCGTACCGATTGATTACAACCAAGAAAGACTACAAGCTAAGGTGGACCCTGATATATTGCAATGCTATCCATGCCTTGGTTGCAATTGAAGTGATAGAGCTCATGGATGGATGCGCAATCTACAAGGCTTTGGATTGGACATAACAGTTTTAAGAAGCAAAGTCTGGCTGAAGACTTAAAACTTAGCGCTTCTCGGGAGGCAACCCAAGCATTTATCGATTTTCGTATTTTTATTTATTTTTATTTTTCTTAGGATTTTAGCATGCGCAAACTAACAATTTAATCTTGTTTTAATTTTTAGGTCGAAAATCAAAAACTAAGGGATCGGACGTTAAATGTGGATTAAACGAACATCAAAGAGTGCATCCCGGAGAAGGACCTTCCGACTAATCAGGTGTATTCTATCCTTGAACTTTGTTCTAATTGCATTGAGGACAATGTAAATTTTAAGTTTGGGGGTGGAAAATTACTTGTTTTTATGTGCTTTAATTTTTTTTTAGTTTGCATGCCTTAGGATTTTTTTTTCGTTTATTTATTGTTTTCTTAAAAAAAAAAAAAAAAAAAATTGCTTGAGTCGAATGCATCGATGAGTTATAATTATGAGAGATGATCAATGTTTGATGATGAGATTGCTTGTTTTGTGTGATGATTAGATGTTTGTTTAGCTTTCGATTCAACGGAACTTAGAAACGAATTATTGCTAGGAATCACACTTTGTGCATTGTTTTGGTTGAATGTTTTGTATTTTAAATTTGGAGTTAATTTGTGTTAGATCATGCTATGTTCGGTTTTAGACCTCACCTTATGAAATTTATGATACGAAGTATTGAGTAGTGAGTGATTTGGTATATGATTTGGGCCTTCTTTGAACCGTTTGAGCCTTTCAAGCCGACCTTTTTATCGAAATTTTCCTTAAAACCTTGATTTGAGCCTCGGAGAAAAGGTGTTCTTTCTTTTATCCAATGTGTATAAGGTAGAATAGATGGAGAGTCTTGAAAAATTACCCCTTGGAGTTCGGTTGAATTTTTTTATAAGGTCCTTCTTCTTCTTCCCCGGAAAAAAAAAAAGAATAAAAATAAAAAAGAGAGAGAGAGAAAAAAAAGAATAAGAAAAGTATATATATGCGTCTATATATATATAAAAAAAAAAACAAAAAAAAAAAACAAAAAAAAGAGAGAAGAAGAAGAGACTAGATGGGAGAAGTAAGGACTAGTTGTTGAATTGTTTTGAAAGCTCGATCTATTGTCTTAAGATCAAAAGTGGAGACTTTTGAACTCTTAAGAATCGAGTTTATTAAAGTCCTTAAAGGTGAATTCATTGTTTCAAACGAATATCTTTCAAATTTTTGCGTAATCACCTCAATTCAAGAAGAATAGCCACATATACCCATATTTCCTACCTCGAACCAAAAAGCCCCAATGATCCCAATAGCTAAATGTTCGATATTAGTAGAGTAGAATAATTTGGTGAGTATTTAAAGTCAAACATATGCATGTAACCATAAATTTTTTCTATCTTTAATTTACAAATATTGGATGCTTGAAGCAATTGCATGATTTGTGGTTTTTGGCTATGGTAAGTGACTAAGTGCTTTTGAATTTTGAGCTTGCGAATGCCTACGAATTTTCATTATAATTACAAGTTCTGAAAACATGAAGTTGGTCATTGATCTATGTGATGAGATGCGGTAGTTGAGTCATTTGCTTACGATTAGATTTTGCTTGAGGACAAGCAAAAGTTCAAGTTTGGGGGTGTGTTGAGTGTAGATATTACACTCAATACGTTTACTTTACGTGGATCTTTTGTTTAGATTTAATTATATTTGTGCTTTAATTGATTGATTTTGTGTTTTATAGGTGAAAAACGAGAATTAGGTGTCCATGAAGGAAAAAAGATCAAAAAGAAAGGAAAAAGTTGTCAATAAGGAAACAAATCAAATTGGAAGAAGGAATCTCGCCACTGCTTTGACAGTGTCCACGATTTCGAGCATATCTCTCTCATATGAACTCCGAATTAGGCGATTTTGACGGCATTGGAAAGCTAATTTCAAGGGCTACAATTCTTATTTACACAACATTCCAAAATTCGGATTCAAACATGGCACAAATTGACGAACAAATCCTGATGGGGGAAAGTGGCGGAAATTGATTCCTATTAGGTTTCCACTACTTCCTTATCAAGAAAAGCCTATAAAAGCAACAAGTCTCTACACCATAAGGACGAAATTTTACACCACAAAACACGAAGAACGAAGATCAACGAAGACTCAAGCATAGTTTTTCTTATTTCTTTTATTTTTATTTTGTTTATCATAAGAATTACGAGTAGCTAAGTTTTTAATCTAGGATTTTATTTGAACCCTATGTGGTAATTCGAACCTCTTTTTCTACTTTTATGCAAGTTTAATTCTTCGATTATTTCTTCTATTTTGATCTTATTTAGCGCATGAACGTAGCTAATTTATTTTGCTATTGGTTATTGTTAGAATTGATTAACAGATCATTTTAATAATTAGAACAGGGATAGAAGAGCATTCGAGTAGTTTTCACCGGATGAGTGTGTCAATTGCATGTATTATCGTAGACATATAGATAATACCTTAGGTAGCCGTTTACGAGACTTGTTATTTAATGCTTTATTTATACTAGGTTTGCATAGACATATAGTGAATCTTTTATGAATAATAGACTTATAATACAGCGACAGCTGGTTATGAGTAATTTCGTGTCTTGGGTTAATAATCGGGAATCATAACTTGCATGATAGGGAATTAATTGGGTGAAGAATTATCGCATAGGGGGAAGATAAAATCCTAGATCCGTTTTATATTGATATTTTCTCGTGTTTAATTGCTTTCTTAATTAGTTTAATTTATTTAGTTAATTAATTTGACAAACTTGCGTAGGCTGGATAAAAATCGTAATTGTTAAAATTTGGTACTTAGGATTAAATAATTTGCATATTCCCTGAGGGATCGACATCCGACTCTCACGAGTCCACTTTACTACTTGTTTGCGATACGTGCACTTGCGTGTGGGTATTTAACACCCAACAGCCGCAGAAGAAATACGATCTCCACACAACCCATAGTCCCAACTTCTTGGGCCTCCATCAGTTCTTCGGATCAATGGTGTGATTATCGGAGTGATAGATAGCGGTATCACACCGGCCCACCCCTCGTTCGACGACGAAGGAATGCCACCTCCCCCTGCTAAATGGAAAGGCGAATGCGAACTGAACGGAACACTAACATGCAACAACAAGCTCATCGGTGCGAGAAACTTCGCCAGTGAGTTCCCGGGCCCCGCCATCGACGACTTCGGGCACGGGACCCACACCGCTAGCACGGCCGCCGGGAATTATGTTTCCGAGGCGAACGTGTTCGGCCAAGCCAATGGAACGGCGTCAGGCATCGCCCCTCTCGCCCACCTTGCTATTTACAAAATCGATTCGAAAACTAGCGTCTTGGAAAGCGACATACTTGCGGGAATGGACGCCGCTATCGAGGACGGTGTTGACGTACTTTCCCTTTCTCTAGGAGGGGGTTCGACTCCTTTCTACGAAGACAGCATTTCCATAGGGGCATTTAGCGCCATGCAGAGGGGCATTTTCGTCAGTTGCTCGGCTGGAAACGGCGGCCCATACAATTCCTCACTGTCGAACGAGGCGCCATGGATTCTCACGGTCGGTGCTAGCCCTATCGACAGGAAGATAAAGGCAACCGCGTTGCTGGGGAATGGAGAGGCTTATGACGGTGAATCGCTTTACCAGCAGAAAGGTAATTATCCCGAATTGCGGCCACTAGTGTACGGCGGCAATGAAACTGTCCTTGCGTGGTGCGGGCCCGGATCGTTGGACGACATGGACATGAAGGGCAAAGTAGTCTTATGTGAGATAGGTGGAGGAATAGCCCCAGTCGGAAAAGGGCAAACCGTGAAAGATGCCGATGGTGCCGCCATGATCCTGATGAATGAAGAGGCCCGCGCCTACTTCACGGTACCTCTACCGCATGTACTTCCTGCGACGCTTGTTAGTTATTACGCGGGACAAAATATCAAAGACTACATAAACTCCTCGACGGCGCCTACCGCATCGATCTTGCTCGGTGGGACGGTAATAGGAGATAAGACTGCTCCGCTAGTTGCATCGTTCTCTTCCAGAGGTCCCAATTTGGCAAGTCCGGGTATTTTGAAACCCGATATTATCGGCCCTGGCGCCGCCATACTCGCAGCTTGGCCTGTATCTATCGACAACTACACTCACGAGAAGGCGACTTTCGACGTGATTTCGGGCACCTCAATGTCGTGCCCGCATCTCAGTGGGGTTGCAGCATTGATCAAGAGCGCGCATCCTGATTGGTCCCCTGCGATGATCAAGTCAGCCATAATGACCTCCGGCACTCAGATAAACCTCGGAAACAATCCAATCCTCGACGAACGGTATTTGTCCGCCGACATCTTTGCCGTTGGGGCGGGGCATGTGAGCCCTTCTATGGCGTTGGATCCAGGGCTCGTGTACGATATCACGGCCGATAATTACGTTTCGTACTTGTGTTTTCTCTACACGGAGCAACAAGTAGCGGCTATTGTGAACCGTAAGATCAACTGCAGTGGATCGGAATATACCCGTGTTCCGGAAGCACAGCTGAATTATCCCTCGTTTTCTGTTGTTCTTGGATATACTGGCTACGTGTATTCACGGACAGTGACGAATGTTGGGGAGGCGAAATCGACTTACTACGCGAAGATAGAAAGCGTTCCAGGGGTGAACGTAACTGTCGAGCCTACGGTACTTAGCTTCACCGAGGTGAAGCAGAAGCTGACATACAAGGTTTACTTCAACAGACAAGAGTTTACTACAAATGGTTCGTATGTTCAAGGATCAATTTCCTGGATTTCGACGAAGCATACCGTTAGAATCCCGGTTTCCGTGAAATTGGCTCTGTGAATTATATGATATCACTGCCGGAATACATGATGATCGACTAGCATTGAAATGCTGGAAATATAACTGGTCATATAATCATGGGTTAGAAAAGCTTTACTGAATTAATATTAACTCAGCTGCCAACATAACAAACTAACTATTAAGAAATTGGCACTTGTATCATACTTATCATAATTACTAGCAAGTACCACGTGGGTTTCACGTGATCACATATGATTTTACGTAATTTATTACTTATGATTAATTAATAAAAGTTACATACCGTACTTTACAAAAAGTTATATTTTTAAATAAAATTAAATAAGTATAAAACTTTATGTTTGCTTATGTATCAAAATGTATGATGATATAAAATTATTCTAAAATTAAAATCAATAAGAATACAAAACCACAAGAAAACAACTAAAATAAATTGTTATATATTAATTCATGCATGGAAAATGCTCACATTAAAATTTATCTTATTTTATTGTGATATTATTTTGAATTTCTCTGCATAATTATTGTTTGAAACGATTAAGTTTTTTTTCGTGTTACTCGTATGTTATGATCACTCTGGTCAAATTTACCAACAGGGCACTGGTATTTGGTGTAATTACAGTTATACTACCTCTAATTTAAAAAACTGAAATGATTTGTGCAGGCACATATTAAACACATTTTTTACCATTCTTCAAAAAACAAAAAGTGAAAAAACTCAAAAACTCTCTCAACCTTTCGATTTTCTTTCGCAAAGCCCGTGCAAATCGTCAACAGATCGGAGGTAATTTTTACGTTTTTACGATCCTCTTGTTATGTAGATTACGAATCCGAAAAAAAAAACGAAAAAAATCGGACTTTGGCCTGCTCGTGTGAATTTACACGAGCGCATCCACTGCGCTCGTGTAAATCCACACGAGCAGGCCATTTCATATATATATATATATATATATATATATATATATATATATATATATATATATATATATATATATATATATATATA